CTCTTATATATACCAGTCTACCCTCTATCTAGTCAATACTAGAGCATTCGCCAAGATACGGGATAGTTCTAGAAAGTAGAGGGCGTGAGAATCACATGATTTCGATGACGCAACAATATATTTATATATATGTTTCTACTACTGGTATTCTATTTCACTGTGTAGCCATTTGTTTGAATGGTGATGCATAAAGTAAATTCAGTTGTATTATTTCTTTATATACAGAAAAAGCTGTTGCCTTAGAAGAAAAATCTTCACATGTAATTTATGAGTTTGGTGTTACAAAACAGGAATGGGAAGAGAATTATGACGAAGTACCAGAGGAGACTAAGGTAATTATATATTAAACACTTCTGCAGTTTTGTATTAGGATAAAATGATTAACTCTTTCAGCATAGGCTCAGTCCCTGGGACTGACCTTATAACCATTTTGTGCTTGATACAGTTTTCATGCTATAACTTTTAAATTAGTAAGCGTATGTTTACGAAATTGGCATATGGTACCAATTTCCTCCTCCCACAAGATTAGCTTTTCCCATTTTGTGCTGCCCTCTATATGCAAACTCTTTTCAAAATGCATCCCTCTGCTGGAATCCAAAGTTACAACATCCCTCTCATGCAAATCATTATGTGTCAACTCTGTAACAATAGGAGAGCACAACTACAATGTGACTCTCTCTGTATGCCACTACCGAACTATTACTTCTCCTTTGGCAATGCTTCGGTGCAGATGTCTTTCTTTAGACCACTGATTACCCTGGAAGTGGTTTAACTTTGTTCAACTTCATTTAATTCAATTTCACTTTTATATAAGAGTGTTTGATTTAACTGTGTTTGCTGTGCATTTTTCGCTTGTTTAGTACCTAGGATGAATTCCAAAGTCTCTTCTATTCAAACCTTATACAGGCACAGGCAGATGAAATTTTGATCTCACCAGGAGTTCCCCACATCTTTCTGAGGATTCTGTTCAGCTCTCGTTGGCTTTCTGAGATTATATCTCAGGTATTTGATGTTTAATTTTTTGCTATAGTTATTTTGGCCTACATCCTTCCTTATTGCTGTTTCTACATGTCTATCTTGTTTTTCCCCTGTCCTCTTATATTTAGGTTTACACTGTGCTTTGCCACCTCGTTGGGTGATGGCATTGGTATGCCTAGTTTTCCACAGGATTTGAGTTGGTCTGCCATTGCAACTATTAGGGCCTGTTCACCATATTTTAAGGTGATAATGGTATACAGGCAACAGTTATGGTGACTGCCTGGTGAGATAAGGACTTGGGTAGCTTGTCTAGTGAATTTTGTTCATCAGAGCAGCCTTTTCCTCTCTGAAGTTTGGGTTCATGGTGTTCTATCAGAGGGGATTTGTCATACCCTTTTCCCCTCTCTTCTATTTCCTTCCTCGTCCTCTGGATCTCTGGTCACACCAGTGTCTTCTGAGACAGTACTCGACCTCTTCACCCAAAAGGTTGTTGTACCTACTCCGCACAGGTTTTACTCCTGCCAATTTGCCCATTGTGGGGTAGTATACCATTTTAGTCCCTTGCCTTTCGATCTGGCTTCTGTGCCATATGTTTTTTGTTGAGTGGTTTGCCCCTTTGCTAGGCATATTCATACCCTTGGGCTTTGCTTCCACACTTACATGGACAACTGGCTTCTTGCCCATTCCAAATGGGTGTCAACCAGTCCTACTCGTCAGCTCCTTCTTGATGCTGTGTGAGTGGGATGGTTGATTACATTGGAGGGGTCCTTCCTTTATCATACCCATTACCTTTTACATCTGGATGTTTTCTTCAACACCCATCTTGGTTGGGACCAACCTTCTTTACTCCAGCTCCACTCTATAGAACTGGCTGTTTGGACAGCCCTGTCTGCTCCCTTACTTACTACTGTCGAGGTTCTTTTGCTTTTGGGGAGGTGGTCACCTCTGACACCTATCATATGCCTTGGCAGGGCTCATATGCGTTTTCTTCAGTGAGCCCTTTGTGACCAGTGGAACCTCTCATGGGATTCCCTGGATGCTTCTATTCAGCTTCCATCATCCTAGATGGACAAGACTCGTACATTGGTGGGTGTTCTTCTTCCTTCTCCGCAGCCAGAGTTACATCTGTTCACAGATACATCCCTTCAGAGCTGATGTGCATGGGTCATTCACCTAGAGGTTTGGGGTCATTGGTCTGCAGAAGAATATTCTCTTCACATCAACATCCTGAAACTCTTGACTGTCCATCGGGCATTGGATCATTTTCTTTCTGTCACCAGCTTTCTCCTTTAGCTCATTCTGTTCATCCTTCTTCCTTGGCTTTTTATTGACAGAAGTGGAGCATTTTTCACTCTTGGGCTTTGGCTTGGGATTTCCCTGCTTTTCAGCCTATGGTTGCTGGTATCTCTAAATTCCTTACCTAGTTCTTTGAGAGGGGTTTATCACTCTTCTCAGTTTCGGGTTTTTGAGCAGATTTATCCCATACCTTTTGTGTTTCCTGTTTCCACGTGGTCTTTTACTTTCCAGTCCTTTCCATGCTGACCTGTTCTTTCTGGCTCCATCAGCCGCTGAGACATCTACCACTTCCAAACTGGGACATTTGTGTAGTCCTCCATGCCCTTACTTTACCTCTGTTTGAAATCATTTCTTCCTGTTACTTGTTTCACCTCTCCCTTAAGACATATTTCCTCCTTCTATTAGCTTTTGGGCATCGTGGATCAGATATTTTAGCTCTCGATGTCACTAAGACCTTGTATCATTCAACCTATTTCATCCTTTATCCAGATCATGCATTCCTTCCCCAGACCTTGGTGGCTTGCAAGAATCATTTCTCCTTTTACCTTATCTCCCTTCCTTCTATCACTCATCTCTACCCTTGTCCTGATCCAGATAGATTCCTCTGCTCAGTATGTGCCCTCCATTGTAATATTGCTTACATGGTTTCTTTCCAGGGTTCTCATTCCCACCTCTTTCTCCCATGGCAAACTTTTTCGTCCCATGATCTTTCCCCTGTTATGCTGACCAATTGGGTTCGTTGTTTGATGCAGTTGGCTTATTCCTTCTTGTGTAATCTCTTTCCAATGTCTTCCACTCAAATCCAATGCCTTACCTTCTCCCATTCTTCTCATCTTCATTGGTCATTGGAGGAGATTCTACAGATGGTTATTTGGATGATTTCCTGCATGTTCATCTCCCACTACCTGCACCACATTGTGATTTATGCTTCCTTGGGGTACTGCCTGCCCGCTGTGGCTATTCTGCAGACTTCAGTGCAGTTTTGACAAGAGGTAAGTCTTTACTTATTATTTCTTTTTTTTCAGGGGCACTTGCTTCAACTTCACTTTGAACCACACTCTGTGGTGAGTGGTGCCTGACCAGGTATTCTTTCTGAGCACTGAATGGGTTCCACTTAGATGGTTATAACCATTCTCAGATATATTTATATAAACAAACAAAAACACAGATCTGCACTATATGCCATGTTGATCTATGGCTATGCACACTCACCCTTGAGATCGGGTGTTTCACAAGATCACTCAAATGTGAATAATCTTGTGAAGTTTGCTTCATAAAAATGCCCATCCCGAACTCTACCACCCATGGACAGCATGGGTAAAGCAGAATGGGATCACTGACCATCCCTACCATGCCTAGACTGAATAAGACAGTATGTTTTTCTTTTCAAATTAGGATTTCGTGATCACCATTGCACTGTCTTGGGTGTAGCAGTCCCTCCAGACTTTCCAGTGCACTTCCACTCCTCTCCCTTCATCTGGTGGAGTAAGGAATTCCTTATCACTCATCAGTTCCAAGCCACTGGGATGGTTGACCATGGACGCACCCTGCTGAATGGGTTCCACAAAGATTGCTATAACCATTTTGTTCAGAGTAGGATGGTGGTTTTCTGCCAGTGTAGAAGGAGTTACAAGATCCTCTGAAAGAGTGACATATGCCTGGAGTGAGATGCCAAAGTTCAGTTCACCCTTCTGATTGGATGCCCTCCTCCTACTCTTGCATGGAGTTTTGGAGTTCGAGTGAACCAATCACATAAGCTCTCACACAGGTTTTGGGTCATCCATCTTCCCCCTGACTCCGTCTTCTGTGTTATGGGTCGCAGGAGGTCTGTGTAGTCTATTTCCCCTTCTCTCTTAGGCATTCCCTCATTCTCAGAATGACAAGCATGTTACAGATCTGTGGATGTTTCTGACCAGTTACATGGATTGACTGTATGCTATGGACTTCCCACAGATACAGTGATACATTCCTGGGTCCCTAACTCATAGCTCATCCAGCGATGTTTCCAAGAATTGATATTATATGTACATTCATGACTCTAGGGCTTCAGGTAAAAATGGTATGATCCTCATCCTACCTTTGCATTGATATTGGTACTCAGCGAGTGAGGTTTTGGATGTAGTTGACTTACCGATAACGATCTGATGCACTCTAGTCACTTTACACCATGGGACACATCCTCCATTACCCAGTTTAATTACGTGGGATTGAGTGTATTTGTTTCTCTGCTTGGGATCACATTACTGAACCACTCTCTCCAACATGGATGTGCTCCCTTCATATTCTACCATGTTTTCATCCCACCTGTTCATGGTAGAAAGATACCTGGTTCAGAAGCGGTGTGCCTCCTCAGATCATCTGACCTATTTTTCTCATTCCCATGGGTGTCCTTCAGATGATTTCAGGGGAATACACCTGTTCTTCCCTTACACCAGTCCCTCTTCCTTTTCAGTGTGGGATTTAAGCTAATCTTGTGAGTGGAGGGAAGGTACTGTATCGAAAGTTATAATTTTCCTATATTAAAATGTATTTCCAGTAGGTACTTCCCTCTTCTCACACTTCCCACCCTTCCTCCCCACAATCTTCCAGTGCTTGCATCTTCTGCCAAACTTCGAAGTCATAATTCGGTAGTGGTGCATAGAGGAAGTCACATGCATCATATGATAGTAGTGCTCTCCTATTGGTGAAGAGTTGATGCATGATGACTTGCATGAGAGATGTGTTGTGGAAGGCTTGTGGTATGCATTTTCAAAAAAGTTCACATATAGAAGGCAGCACAAAAGAGAAAAAGGTAATTTTGTGAGAAGAGGAAAGTACCTATTGGAAATACATTTTCGTATAGGAAAATTATAACTTTGGCAGATTATCAGTAAATATTACAAGATTTTTTTTAAGTCTTAAGGTTTGTTAAGTAATATTTTTCTCATGACTTTTTTTTTGCATGTTGCTTATCTAACATACAAAATAATTTTCATTTTAAGATTAAAAATACTTTTATGAATCAGGAAATTTTAAAATTTCACATGCAAAATCTTTATAACGTCTAGCTAGTTATGAA